CTTGTACACGGTGCGGCTCGATCAAACTATACAACCGCCAGTCAACTTGACAACTCGAAATTATTCATGAACCGCTCTTCTCATTTTATGCCGCGCTATCTGAGGATCTATCTGATTTAGAATGGAAATTCCTCCACGGTCAAAAATTCTATCGAGGGGAATTTGTAAGCTAAATAACTTGAAACACTTGGTGAATTTTCGGATTTTCGAATGTACGGAAAATTTCAATGAATTAACATTCAATCAAATGGCAATATCTCAGTTATGTAGATTTTCAGGTTTTCGAGTCGAAGGGAATGTCAAGTTGTTTGACAGTCAGCATTAAATCAGTGATTTCTAACCTTTTCTTTCTTCTGTATCACTTGATTAGGCTTTTCGTTATAGTAATAGTAAAGTAATAGTAATAGTAAAGTTTGCTTTTTTAAAATTTTCTTAGGTTAGCTAAATAATCAAACGACTCGAATTAACCTAATGATATTTCACATCAAAACTCTGTAACTTTGGCTTTTCTGTTTTTACTTTAATTTTTTTTTCTTTTGGTGCTTTCCGCCATTATTATTAATGTTATTTTCGCATGCTCCCAAGGATACATGTACCACAGGTTGGAAATTCTTTACAAAAAACGTGTGGATTTTGGTATCTTTCGAGAAACTAACAATTGTGAACGTATTCGTAGAATTTCTCGAAATTTCTTAATCTTAAACGAAGAGTCTAGATTTTAAATTAAGGGAAAGTTCAAGTTGCTTCGCAGTCAGCTAATGAATTAAACAATTGCACACGCATTACTGTCAGGCATTATTGGATAAATCCGTAACCTTCTTGAAATGTTCATTATAAATCCAAAGAACTCACATCTCGATTCTTTGAGAAATCAACGACGTAATAAACATTCGAAATAAAGCATTATCAATTATCATCGATCTACTGAAATCTACTATTTCACCACGTAACTCAGCCAGACTCGTGAGACGCGATACAATTGAACGCCGTCAGATTCGAGAAATCATGGTGCAAGTACGCATGACCGACGTAAAGTGGGTTATGCGGTAGTTACAAACGTCGAGAGCGGACTATAAAGGGGACCGTTCTCCATCGGTGCTACTCGTAGCATCGGGAATACGTCTCTCGATATACCGAGTACCAAAATTCCTTCGGAAAGAGCCACCTTGATCCGTTTCTCTCTCGTCGTTCGTTCCTCGGGAAAGCCATTCCACGCGCCACAAGTTGTCGATCACGATATCGTTGACCTCTACTACTTTTGGCAATCGGCCCTTTACCGATTATTGAACGTCCGTAGAGACAGAACGCGAGACATACGTTGAAGAATTTTCGACACAATATTTTCAACGAGAAATTTTTCACTGGTTTACATATTCGAGAAATTTTTACCACTCATCTCTCTCTTTCTTGGAAAGCTTTCGTGAGTCTAACACCAGAACCACCGACAATTGAAGCATAAAATTTCCAACAGAGACGTTAGAGTAAAAGAAGTAGAAAAATTTTATAATATAAAAGTATACGTTAACGATTTTATTTACATATTTGAATCTCGAAAGATCACTTGAAACAACAATTGCAAATTGATCATCTTTATAATAAATGAAATGATTGATTTTAATTTGAAGTGAATTAAATGAATGAATAAATTTTTAGAAAGCATTTGACGGAGAATGTTACACTTTAAATATTAGATACAATTTGTATGTTAAATATTTTTGAAGGACAGGTGGATATAATTTGAAAACATTCTTTTTTTAAATATAATAACGTTTAGTGAAGATCAATGAATATTTTATTAAACTTCAGAATTCGATCAAACTGACACAAGAACAAGTTAATCATTCGATGTTCAATCTAGTCCAAAAATGTGCCGAATGTAAATTTATAATTAAAAAGTCAATATGTAAAATAATGCTCGTTAACCGTAACTCGTACGATTTCTCAGAAAGAGAAATTTTTACGGAAAAAGAAAGATGCACGAAACATGGTTTCCGCAAATTCAATTTTAATATTCCTAAAGGGCGGGTTCGTATTTTCTCAATTATATTGCGATTCCAATTTCATATCGGCGTCTCACGGTTCGTTATCGGTGTTCTATAATGATTGTAGGTAAACGAAAGGGGTTTTTCGATCTGTTTTGCTATTTCATTAAGGCTACATACTGAAGTCGGCCGCGATCACGCTGGAAGAGGGCAGATGTTTGAGTTTCCAATAGGAAGGAAAGTGCGCCGATATCTGTTATGTAAACTCAGTTACAATCTAACTCTACTTTGATCACCGGCCAAATTAATATTGAAATAAGATAGAGTTCGCGAGATTGAAGATACACTGTCGAACGTAAATAAGAATACTCCCGTTACCGTTTGTATTGATAATTAAGCTGGAGCAATCGTAAAATATATACTACGTATGAAATCCTACGTATATTCCGTAAAATGTAACTCTCGTATCTTCTTAAAAATTCTTGAAATTGAAATTAAAATTAACAATGAAAATATCTTAAAACTGAAATCAAAAAATCTCGTATCTCAAAGAATAAAATAAAATATACACGTGTCGTTTGCAAATAAATGGAAAGTATGAATGAATATTCATACGAGACTGTGCAATTTTTAACTTCAAACGATTTTAAACGCATTTAAATAATGCATATGATTTTGCCAGAAATAGTAGCTGATATATCGATCACCAGCATCAAAAATTGACAATAAACACGAGGAACATTTTTCTTTCTCAATCTTTTCACGTGTCAACCTTCTAGCTACGAAAGACAGCTGATACTTCAAATTTCAGTATCTCTGACGTGATAATTTATTCATTGGAAAATATACGTAAATAGCGTGTTTCATATCGTCTCTATTTTTGTTTGAAATACTATGCCGCATAACGGGAATCGATTTTGAATAAAGCGCAAACAATTGAAGGAATTAATTCTGCTAAAATAATTATATCTGATACACTGGATAATTCTAATATTAATGAACCTAATATTTCAGTTAGTATACGTATCGTCACGTTCTGATATCAAAGTTACCTTGTATTTTTATTTATATATTTTTATATATTATATATTTATAATCTCCAACTGGCACGGGTCAGATTACTAATAAATAAGTAATAAATGGATAATTCATTAGTAAAGAGGTTAACTAACAACTCTTTCATTATAATTGCATGAAAGACAGCTAATGAAAAGTAGGACCCCGATGGGAAAAATTAGAGACACCTAGGAGGAAAATATTATACGTTTATCAATGATTTAGCCATAATTGCTACATCAGTTCAAGATTAATCTACGAAAACTGTTATGAGTGAAATTTCGAGATGAATATTGTAAATATCTCATTATTCATACGAGTAATATTTATAAGATTTAATCAGAAAAATAATTGTTTGTAGTGATAACAAATAGGAACATTTACGATGATAATATTACTGTAACAAGTATCACGGCATTAAGTATTACAGCCTAAATTATAATATTTTAAATAATATTAAGTACTGAAGCTTAATATTACAAGTTGAACATCCATGTAACCACAGTTATTGTTACTGCTTATTTTCTTTATATCAAAGTAATTAACTACACCATTAATTAACAACATTCTTTTCGTATAAGGAGGCAAAATTTAAAACAAAGGAGGAAAGATTTAAAACAAATCAAAGATTCGTACAGGGTGAAATTTCACTTACGATAATAGCCTTTAAAAATTAATATCTACCCCGTAAAATTAAAGTATCCGTAAAGTTTGCTCCACAAAAACCGAGAGAGAAGTTTTACTCACGTTTAATTAATCGCGCCGGTTAATCACAAACGACCGGTTAATCGTCAAACGTTCCAACTTCGAACGATGCCACGAGCAACTTCAACAGCGATGTCGTGGCTCTTCGAAACGAAGAAACGAATCGGACAGTATTCGAATCGTTTAACTTTTCAAAATGGCCTGATTAAATATAATCGAGCGATACTTACGGAATCAAAGAGCGCGGCGGATGATCGGAAATTACGAACAGAGGGCTGGTTTATCAATTGGTAAATAGCAACGTCGTTCAGTGTCCCTTTGACAGTTTCGATCGTCGCGAAAAGGAAAAAGAAAAAAAAGAAAAAAGAAAGAAAAAAAGAGGAATACGTTTCGTTACGAACGGCTGTCGCGTTTGAAAGCGCATATAACGTAAAGAATTCGACGCTTTGACAATCTGCCGTAACGAGTGACGTACGAATCCCGAAATTTAAATGACTCTGTTGGAAAGACCGCTAGCTGTTAACGCAACGAGTGACACGATCCTGGCAGGAGCTTATTTTCGAGCGCGAGGGGTTTCACGGTAGAACGAGTTTGAATGGCGCGGAGAAAAAGTTCGTAGAATATGTTCTTTTTTTTTTTTCTTACGCTGACAATATTGTGAAAATCTAACGTTTTATCTTTGTCAGTTGCCTAATTGCACAGTCGGGATATTATAAATGAACAGATCAAGCATCTTATGGGATTTCAAGTCCCATTCTCTGAAATATCAGCATATATGAAAAAATAAACAGCATATATAAACAACAATGAATTGGTGAGCTATATCAAGTAAAATGAACGAAGTTGATCAAGCAATGAATGCGCCAGAAACATGATTTTTGAAATCCATTACAGTGTTGTCAAATTTTCAATACCGAAATGTAAAGTTAACCGAAATCATTCTACTATATATCAGAGATATATAGAAGAATTTTATCCACATTTTACGGTATTACGATGATCTATTTTCATGTAGTAATTACAATAAATGTATATGTTCTAATTGTTGAAATCGCGATATACAAAAGAAGCCCTATCCTGATCTAATACATAGAAAAAATCTGAAAAGAATGTTACTATTCACGTGTATGAAAAATACCCGCGGTCACTATGCTCATCAAAAATTCTACGTATACAACCAATCACCCGTGTCGATTCGGACCTTTCATCCTACGACATGATTGAGTGACCGGAGGAACATAAATGCATGCGACTCACGCGATAGATGTGAAGAACATATCATCGATGCTGCACTGCAGCAGGGAAAGTTATCGTGAAGACCCTCATCAAATAGATACCACTGAGAATCCCATGGTTGAAGCGAACACCGTGAAAAATTTCTAAAAAAACATGAAACATTTTATTTCTAAAGACACAATTATTTGTGAAAATTTTTTTTATCAATGATAAAAATTAAGTTTAATAATTTCAAATATTTTTATTTTCTAATGATAATTTTACATTCGACTTCAATAGAAAAAAAACTATAAAGAATAAAATTTAAATACAACATGCTAAAGTACTTACATTTTTAACTTTTGAAGCATCATAAGATTCTTGGAGGGGGAGTGAACACTGCAAAAGATCTGTAACGAAATATTAAACATTAGAATTTGTATTTAAAAGCAAAGCAAAATCTTAAGTTGGAGATAATGAAAGATTCTTACTTTCTTGGCTTTAGAGCCACTGTTGGATTTTCCCCAAAATGTAAAATTAATGCTGATGTGAAGCATCTGTAACAGAACATCAAACAAACTTTGTTGTTAAATTTGAAAAAAATTTACTAAGTTGAGGTACAGTATTATAAAACTATAATACTTACGATCTTGATCTCCTGGAGAGGCTTTATCCTCTTGAGCACTGACTCTAGTACCGAAAACGAGTATTGAACAAGAAAAAATATGAAAAAAGAAAAATAAAAGGCTATCAACGCGCGCGTTTAAGTAACAATCGGCGGATTCACTGATTCTAACGTCGCGAATTGTAATTTCAAATGAATTAACAATTTAATTTAATGAGAGCCATTTTGCTCAGAAAAATGTTAAAATATTGCGCAACAAACACTGACTCTACCGACCGCATTGCGCGCGATCACAAATACTTTCTGAAAATAAAGCTGATTAGTAGGGGGAAGGCGAAGGATACGTTTATTTAAAAAATACTGCTATTTTTCATGATTATAAAGAACATGATTATAAAGAAACTTGAATATGTATTAACGATATTAGTTGTAAATTATAAATATTCTCAATACTAAATAAAAGACGATTATTGTATTCTAAATGTCTGTTATTATTATTGGTAGTATGAACATTACTAATATATTACATCACGTGTTATAAATGTTCGAAAATGTTTGCACACCTGCTTTGATATATTGTATCTACTGTCTATTTAGGTGTTTACATCAGTAAATATACGCGGTCATTGGGGTAAGTTGGAAAAAAGAATTAGGTCTTTAATGTGTTAAGATATAATATTACAAAAAATGCATGTGAAATCTTACTTTGAATCGTTTCAATTGCGCATCAGCGTTCAAAAACAGCCAATATAGTATAATAAAGTACATATAGTATAGTAAAGTACGAAAACTTTGAATATGATAATCTAATACAAGAATACACATCCATTTGACAGTATATGTTAAGCTGGTATATATCCAAATAAAATATCAATTGATTTAATCTTTTCTATTCTCATCTTTGTGTTCCAAATAATTACGAAATTACATATTGTGAATAATATCTCAAATATATATGAATATTTATACCAAATGTTACCAAAAATGAATAAAATGTTACCAACCTTCATCAAATTGTCCATTAATGATCGTGGCATCTATGCATTCTATACTATCTCTGCAATCAAGGAATAACCTACACAATGAGAAATTAAAAGTCAGAACAAATGTGTCAAATGAAAGCAAATGTGTAAAAAAGAAACGATAATCAACATCAAATTCTATTAAAGAGACATACGAAATGATCTGTCCGCAACCGTACGAGTGAAATCGACAATTGAAGAAAAACTGGCGTGAAAAGTTTCAAATCACTGCACGATTTCGTTGTCATAATGCTCAGTGAATCATTAAACACGCGCGTATTAATTAAATGATACTATTAATAAGGTATAAGTGGAAGTAAAAGTGTCGAAGAAGTGACGCCATCGAAGAGACGCCATCGATAGGTTAGAAAAAGTTACCAACTTAATGCGGCGTAATACGTGTTGTTGTTACGAAATCCGACATCTGAATGACTCTTCGTGACACGTCTCGTCAAGCACTTGAGAAAGTAGTAGGGGATGGGGCGATCCTAAACGAAGAGGCACGATGATTAGGACGAACAGAAACATTGAGTTCGTGTTGCTTTGAAATTCGATACTCGCGTTCTAAGACCTTCTATGCCTTATTTTATTTGAGCAATGGAAAACTTTATTATATTGTAGCTATTAAATATGTACATTTTTAATAAATTATTGTTGAACTTAATATTAGAATTGTTAAGAATTACGCAGTATGAAGTTAAGAATCAACAAGTAGAAAATTTTATAATAGAGGAGTGTGTGTAGAAGCATATAATAAAATACATGTATATATATATATAACCATGAGTTGATCAATTACAAGATTACAATATTTATTGGTTAGAATTGAAATTCAATTTTGATATAAAATTATGAATAACTTTCAGTATAGTATGTTCTGATTAAATGTTTATATGCTATTATTTCTTTAATTGTTGAAAATTATATGTAATAATTATTTGGTTAAATCTTACCTTGAGGTGAAGCCAGAAATGCACGTTAAAAATCTTAAAAATTCACAACACATATCAAACAGCTATTGATTTATATTTTTATTTCTTTAAGAATTTCTGGATGATACCACTTTTTGGATGATTAATTTGGAATAATACTTTCTTCTTTACAGATGCGATGTGCCGTCCCTTCCGCCATACTTGCCGTTTAAGAATCGATCAAGAATAATATCGATTACGTTCGAGAATCGTAGGAAGCGTATTGCGTATTTCGCCGCGGCGTGGCGCTGCAATCGTTAACTAAATTTAAACCTAATACGCGCGCGGTTCACACGAAATATGAACTTGGAATAATAAAAAAAAAAAACTTTAGTCTGAATGAAATACACAAAATTACATCTTAAAAAAGAACAAAAATATTCATACACTGGATGAAAAATTATCAATATTTTAAACTATTATAATTTCGTGAAAAAAAGTTGTAAAATAATTAACTTGATTTTATTTTAAAAAATGAAGTCTCCACTTTAACAATCTTGAGTTTGTTTCGTTCAAAGATATTTATTTTTACATCGTGCAGCAAGTGTACTTATCTTCTCGAAAATTGTAAAAGTTCAAACATCTCGCTGAACAGAAGTTCTTCCATCATTGAACAATCTTTTTTCATAATAAAATCTTGAAAATTGAAATCTTTCCTTTATAGCGAGCCCTTAAAACTAGCTGTACGATTTTGTTCGCCATTATATTAAACTATAGATAATAATTCATTAATTTTTAACTAGTTATAACAACAAATGGTCTCGTATGTAAGTCACTGAATTCGTTTCAACAAATAACTATTTCATTTGAGGAAATGAATTTGACTTCGAAATTTCAAAAACGAACAAACTACAAAAAATAACTTTATACCAAACAATATTTATAGAAACATTTCTTTGGTACTTCTATAAAATCAAGTTTACAGGATTCATTCAGACTCTGAAGCTACACATTAAAATAAGTAAGGAATGTGATATTTAATTTATATTTAATTATGTTTCTATTAAACATAAGAAAATTAATGAAATGATTGTCGTCGGAGAATTAGTGAAACATTCCAGTGATCTGACGTATTAATATTAAATTTTTTTCTAACATGTAAGAAAACCTGATTTATTATCGTTATGATGAATATTATATAGAGAAGAGAATATTATAAAAATAATCGTTTAGAATCGTCTTTATTGAGAAAATATTGCAGGAAGAAAAAGAAGATAATGAACTGAAATTTTAAAGGAACAATCTTGATGAAAATGAAAATTAAAAGAAACAATATCCAGAAAAGTTTTTGTAACTACGAACTCTTTGTTGAAACATAGAAAAACTAAAGACTAATCGACTCATGAATTCATTCTGCATTTGAAGAGAACCAACGAATTCATTAATTAACGTATTACTCAATTCGACATTTCAATGATTTACTTGGTAACTGCAGATTGCTGATTGCACCATGTGATAAAAGTTCGATCGCGAGGAGGATTTCAAATTTATTCGCGAGGAACTTTAAAATTAGTTGATTGCTGGAACTTACATTTCCCAATTACTAATGTTACCATTCGCAATCAGATTGAAATCTTTCCCGACTGTGTTGATTTTGCACGTGGTACGTAGATTAGTTTCCGAAGAAGAGAAATTTGACCAGCTGATTAGAAATTTAATTAGTTCATTTCTATGGAAAGTGATACGAATATCTTCATATTTGTATACATTTTGTAAAACAAAGTACACGTATATTACAATTAAACCACGAACTTTTGTGCATTTGTGGCAAATTTAAGGGTGCAAAAATGCAGGAAATGCACACAACGCGATGCAATATGCAAAGTAGAACGCTTATAATACTTAGTAGTGATATCAAAATAAATTTCTGTTTAAATTCCATTTCTTTAATTCCGTTCATAAATATCTGCAATCTAATTACTATTACTTTGGATATTTTACATACGTCTTTTGAACATGTCTGAATAGACATTTTGTATATCATTTATGTAAAATACATTTTACACGTTATAATCTGTATATTATTTTGTACGAAACACACTATTCAGTACGATATTTAGTAGAAATAATTTAATAGAAATAATAATTCACGGTCTTGTTATAATATTCAAAGAGTCAACAAAAATCCCTATTCATGCTCCACTTTAATCATCTTCAAAACCATACAGGATCATTTAAACCTTGATTCACTTCTCAATTTCAATTTTTCTACCACACCATTAAAAAAAAGATGCAGTATCATTCTCCTCAGAATGGGTAGCGTTCCCATCTTTCATCTCCCTTCCTCCATCCCCCAGAACTTAAACTTCTTACATCGTCCTATATTATCGTGAACGAGGAGAAAGGCATTTCTCGAAGATTACCAGTCGCGTGCATCATAGCCGGCGGCCGTTCTACGCGGGGACGTGATCCACCTTCGAAAATAGGCGAAAGCAGCGAAATTTCTCCAAGGTTGGCGAACGCCAGACTGCACACTGTCGAATATTCGTGCGTACATCATCGGCCAGCTATGTATTTATAATACAACGCGTTCCACGAGCACAGCCGCGGCTCGTATTAAATCACGATGCCGGTACCCCTTTTGGCTCGTACTCGCGCGATTTTTAACCTCCATTGGACACCAGCAGCCATTAATTTCCATTAGGCGTTGGCAAAACTGGGATTATTCCCGGGGCTCTAGGCTTTTCTCGGCTTTTCGGCCGCGAGAGAACAACCTGGACGAGACAGGGGACAACGCAGTTGCGCGCGCGTGAATAGTTTCACAAACTGATCTATGATCATCGGCGATCGTGGCCGTGCAATTTCGAGATATCATTGACACTGGGGTCCCGCGTGTTATTGGTCCACGTGTTTCCGTCAGATCCGGGAGATTGGAATTAAAAATGAGTTTAAAAATATGTTTAATTTGTGTCGTTCTTAAACTGCGGATTTTTATCTATTTTTAGCAGAAATACAAAAGTGCAGAGAACGCGTAGCGTAAGCAGAAATATAAAAAATATTACGAAAAGACGAGATTTATAATTTTAGTTATGATATTTAGTAACAAATTTGGAAATTATTATTAATTATGATATTTGGAAGCAAATTTCGATCTAACCTCCATTTGTTTAATTGTAAAAGAATTGAAAATTGCAAGAAAATCCGCAGTCTAATAGACAAGTGTTACGAATTTCTAATATAATTTGTAATACAAGCAATACTGGTATAATATACATTCATTATTTAAATCGGGTTTTATATTCGCGGATCGTTTTGTTATAACTCGAACAAAATTTCGCGAAAGACGAAATTTTATTCTTCACTGTAAAACAAAGCTATGCTTAATCATCATAATTATTTTTAATTAATTATTTATAATTAGTAATGTTGAATTTAAAAGACATAAATTAAATTCGAATTTAAATTAATCAAGATCTTATTCCAATCACTCTTTCAATTCTTTCTAAACGATCTGTCATTATTTTTCAACTAATACGCAATCTTCTCATTCCTGTAGCAATCTAAATTCACGAATGTAAATTAGCAGCATTCATAGAATTTCTGAAATTCTGACTTGACTTTTGTCACTGAAGAAAAAAGGTTTCATTTGCGTATCTCGTGACAGAAATACGCAAACTTATAACTGTCCCACGTCGAAAGTAGGTTGAATCTGAGACATTTGAACTTTTTAAAGACAGCAACGAATATCCGATTATTTGGAAATTACGACGACTTACTAAGTGACTATGACAAATGCTGGAACAAATGTTCACGTAAAATTGAGCACAAATAATGTCGCTTATATAAATACCAGTAATGAAATCTACGATTTTCAACGTTAAAAGAGAAAAGAAAAAAATAATTCGTGAAAAACTTTATCACCTGGTATTTATCCCGCGTATTAATGAAAAGGTAGCGCGGAACAAAAGATCGGCGAATAGTCATTTTCCAATTCTCTTCGCGCGTTATTGTTTCCGATTTTTCTTTTCCACTGGAATACATACACATACATATATGCATCCCATTTCTGCGATGGCAGAGAGAAAAAGCAAAAACAAAAAACGAAACAGAGAGAGAGAGAGAGAGAGAGAGAGAGAGAAGAAAAAAGCGAGAGAAGAATCCTTTTGGATTTCCAGTTAACGAACAATTTTCACCGAGCGAACGAGTTCCGCGTTCGATGTATCGCACGCACCGCGAGAAACTGGCACAGCGAATTGTTAGCGAATTGTTAAAGCGCGGCGACGAACGTCGTAACGTCGATGCTAATATCGGCGAACAAAAGAGCGTAACCGCTGGCATTCGCGCAGTATCGGTAACGATTTCTCCTTCGGGAGTAATCTGAAAAACGGCGGATACTCGCCGGTGATACGCTCGAATACGCGCGCCGCTTGAATTATGCGACGGGGAATATCGCGCGTAACGAGAGACGTCGCACGTAAAAACGTGCTCGTAGAAAATTAACCT